TTAGAGAGTAAACAAAATTACAGTGTTTTATATGTGATGAATTTGATACAATTTCACGGATGTTCAGGTGCCATTGGAGACTGTTTGCAAGCCATAAAGCTCGATGACTCGAGATGGCAGCCGCATTACTGTATGGGGTGAGCAACACGATAGTATTTCTTTGTTTAATGGCTTTTGTTTGATCTGTGGTGGCACCTTAGTCACATAATCCTTCAAAATGTCTTGCACTCCCACACTCAATCCTCACACTGCGCTCATGCTCTTTATAGAAGTTTTCACGCTCGCATACACGCACATCATGTGACTTAGGGATCTCTTGCGCCTGGCCCTAGGGGCAAGGCATTTTGGGCCAAATATAGCCCCTCTCACACACACACACACACACACACACGCGGGGTAATGAGAGGCAGATAGCAGTAAGGATTTTTTCCACAATTTCCTCCCCTTGTACAGATACAATGACAATCTCAAGGTAATTTGAAGTTGTTAATTAGAGATGAGTGAGATATGGAAGCGAATCATTTAAGAACCAAAATTCATACAATTTATGTTCAATGTTTTCAACAATATAAGAAACATAAATAGCATTTGATTTACAATGGGATTTAATTTGGACTTTTAAGATCAATATTTATAGGTCCATGAAACATGTTTGACGAAATTTTCCAAAGGGGAAAAAAGAGTTACTGCATAAGAGGAATATACAGAATTTGTTATTATTATTATTATTATTATTATTATTATTATTATTAAATTGGCACGCAAAACTCTTATGCAAATGCTCCTCTTTGCTTCATGGACATACTGTTGCAAGGAAGGTGTTAGATATATTGCTTCTTTGAGGATTAGATACATAGTTTTCTATTTGTAGTGGAACGTTAGACTTGTGAGTAATACGTGGTTGAGTAGGATTTTTGCATGTATTCTTTTCATATTTTTTCCTTCCCATTCAATGGAGAAAATAAAACTTTAGACTGCTCTTTTGACCAAAATACTTTCGATCAGGTATAATCTTATTTCTTGTGTTTGTGTGCATTTATGGATTACTGCGTGATTTTCAATTCAAGTATGTGGTGTTTAAGTCCTATAGTCTTTGTTAGGCGGGTGCAACAGTATTATCTGAAAACTATTATGGAACTTATCTATTAGGCTTATTGTTTGCACGTTGGGTATATATCATCTTTAGTTTTTGTTGGCACCTCAGTTGACTTCAATTTTCTTTTCTGTTCAATTATGATGCAGCCATTGTATGATTCTTTGAGAAGTAACAGTCTGATTCCTGATGTTATAAAAAAAACACATGTTAGCAAGTGTCTAAAAGTTAATGACAATGCTTCTATTATTTTTAGTCGTTTCTTTTCTGTTTTTCTTTTAAATGATTAATTTGAATCGTACTATCCTCCATTTAGCAATTGAATATCTCCCGTAAGTGTTAGGAGCTATTCTCATCAGTTGGTTTAGCAATTGAGTATGTCCCGTTAGTGTTAGAGGCTATTCTCATCATTTGGCTTATGATTGATCTTCAGAGCGGGAACTTGCATCTATGTTGCTTTACAAAACAGCGTTGGGAATCCTCGTCCACTATTTGCGTGTCATGAATTTTGACCGTGCTTTTCGAAAGAGTGGATTTGGATTTTGGGCAATTGTTAAGTGAATATTAGTTTTGAATGGCATAGATTTTGCAAAGTTCCTATGCACGTGGACTCTACGATTTTTCCTCAAATTAGAAGACCTTATATGCACGTGTCGCGGTGTCAGTATACCCTATGGGTAGTTTCTCCCTTCCATAGGAATTGCATGACCTATAATTTTCTGATATGTACAGCAGCTATATTATGGGGTAGAGGTGTTTGTGAACAACTTTCAACCAATAATTTTTATGTTCTCTACTCAATACCTTCTCCTTGTGTTCCTCACATGGGCTTCATTCATGAACCTGCACTCTTCTTTCTCGAATTATTTTGAGCTAGAAAAAGCATGAACTTTTTGCTAACAGAGAAATATGAGTTCTTATATAAGTAGCTTCAACTATCTGTATATCTGGTAGGGTACCCTCAGCTTTCTAGAGCATTTTAGAGAGCTATAAATGGTGAAAACAAAATAAGCTTTATATTCTTTGTGGTCATTACCCGCAAACATTAGATACAGAACATTTTACTCCATGTAAAATAGCAAATGTTTGCACCTATTACCAAGGGCTTCCAACGTTTCAATGCATGTTCCCAATGCGCATTAAGTTTCAATCTTCTGCCCTTCAAGGTTCAATTAAAATTACAAGATTTAATTGTGTGCAATTGACAAGCGAACATCTCGCATTGTTGCATAGGGTTTCATAAGTTCCCCCCTTTGCTTTTCCAGAATTTGGTTTAGAGGTTTGTATAGGTGATGGTGGTGTACATTACTTTTGTTGTTGTTCTTTCTCTTTTAATAGGTGAATCTTTTCTATCGTAGAGTTTTTCCACTATATGGCTGAAAATATGATATTCGTTCCTTCACACAGGATAGTGTCCCTATTGTTTGTGGCATCCCTTGCTATTAGCAATATTATGAACTCCGAATCTGAAGGGGTTACTTGTATTGCTAAAATTATCAACATCTAAAGACCAAATGTTCAGGAATGTTTGAAGCCTTATTTGTTTCTATTATCAACGTCTAAAGACCAAATGTTCAAAAATGACTTCCTGTCTAAGAAGTGCGAACTTGGCTGTGAGTTTATTGAACCATTATTTGTTTTTATTGAAACCTTATTTGTTTTGTGAGTTTACAGGCTTGCATACTTCCATTTGAAGAAGTACAAGGATGCCAAGTCCGCCCTCTTCAAAGGGGCGGACTTGGCTGCCGGCTACAGGTCCTGGTTTGATGACCTGATTTTAAATTGCAATGATGCGGATGCTGAACTGCCAGTTGATGCTAAAGCAAAGGAAGTGGTCCCCCCAGTAAATGAGCTTCTGAAGATGCTGGCGTACACAATCTTGCCGGGAATAAACATCGTCTGACTGCTGGAGATAAGGACGCACGTACACACTTTACTGGCATGACTTTTTGAGGGATGAATCAATGGGTGGACTACTCCTACTGGTGGGATATAGCAGGGAAGTTGAAGGAATGCTCTTGGTAATCTTTCCTGGCGAAGTTGAAGACCCAGCGTAGAGTGTCGTTCCACTTTTATGTGGAGACACGTGATTTAAATTTCTTGTCTTAATACTTTTAGTGGGGAATTATGCCTTTTAATGTGAATAAAGATGTGGAAAATGTGTTTTTGGGGTTAAAGTAAGTGGATTTTATCACGGAGAAAGTATTCTGGGACAGAGGATTCCTACTTCCTAGTGTCGATCCCATATGGGTATAGAATCTGTGTCCATCATGTTTTGCACCTTGCAAGCGTATTGTATGATTCAAATGTAGTACGAACCATGCATAGACTCCTACCGTACAATCGGGCGCACCTTGTAAACATGATATACCACAGAAAATTGGACAAAATAGACCAAGGAATGTGAAGATTAAGGGGTGTCCCTATGTCCTGGAAATAGAAATAAAATGAATCTGATATGTAGACTCGTACCCGCACCCAATAACAGATTTTTGCATCCATATAATAACATGGCTCTGCAAATAATAGCAGAGATGCCCTGAAAGAATACACAGACAATACAAAGATGGTCACAGAGATCACTTCCAAAACGATGGCCAAGTCGTTGCAACTAGAAGAAGACGGTTTCCGGCATCAGTTCGGTAAACGAGCAATGCTGCAAGCAAGGTTTAACTACTACTCGAAATGCCAGAGGCCTGATCTCATTATGGGCTTAAAACCCCATGCAGATGGATCAGGGTACACAGTCATTTTGCAATATGAAGTTGGTCTTCAAAATCTTCAACAAGGACAAATGGCATACAGTCCCATAAATTCCTCATGCCATCCTCATTCTCACGGGTCATCAAACGGAGGTGCAAATGTACACATTAGTATGTATTGCAAACTGTCATTTGATTTTGACTTTAACGTGGCGTAGAAGCAGAAAATGAATACATTGTTGTTGTGATTGATGTGTGATAATACCAGATAATGACTAATGGAGTGGTCAAGAGCCGTGTGCATAGAGGGTGCTGAGTAACTCGTTGACAGTCGGAATTTCCATAGATGTGTTCTGCACACCCGAAAAGGGAAAAGAGATCCGACCGGAGCACAGATCGGTTGATGGTAAAGTGAAAGATTATGCAGATGTTCACTGGGAATATTTCCAGGGAGGAATGAGAGCATTCCCCCCCATTCCCTCCTGTGTCTGATTATGTAAAACTAAAATGTGCACGTTTTAAGCTTAATTTGAATGACCAAAATCTTTTGTTTTCTTTCTCTTGCCGAGTACAGACCGACATCTTGAGAGGAATAAGAATTGGATTCTAGATCTCCGTGTTTCCCACATACGAATCGGCTGAAATCAGAATGGGATACCTGATTATATATCCATTCCAGAATCATCTTCGCCCAATCGGCATGAGATCCTCCCACGAACGGAAATATGAGGTTCTAGACTCAATCCTACAAAAGAGAGTATCTAACTCTGAAAATGTTAAAAATCTCTCCGGGATAAAGATTCACGAATTAAGCTAACACCGAAATAAAACTATCTCAATTTGAAGTTACTGGGTATTTGACACCTAGTAATCAGATTATCCATAATGTAAGAGTCACCTGTAGAATACGTTATAAGAGCAGTATACTTCTCCTTCACAATCATCTCCACTGGGCTAGAGCCAGGAGAAAGTAGCTTCACTCGTTCGATAAGCATCATCGCGTTAATTGCAGCCAAAGCTATAGAGAATCATTGATTCAGTTTTCTCGAAATCAACGAGTGGACTTGAAATCATAGGTCCATTTTGTGATCCAGCGACTCAGAGAATCAGCCTATTTCTTACTCACCCAGTGCTGTTCTGATTGAATTTCAGTCCCCCTTTTCACAGAAAATGGAGAGATGAATTGATGTATTTTTGAAAACCGTCGAGACTGATGGGGATCGAACCCGCAGCGTCCGCCTTGACAGGGCTGTGCTCTGACTGATTGAACTACAACCCCAGGAAAATTAGGTGTATAGCCGAAAAATTCTCCTCAAAAAGAAATGAAAACCAGAAAAGTTTTAAGAAACCCATTCCGTCCTTGCTCTCCTGCCTTCATTAAAAGGAAACAGATGCCAATACAGGGAATTAAATAACTCTGTTCGAAAACAGTGCAAAGAAACTACTACAAACAAGCTCCGAACTCTCATCTAACTAGAATGACAATTATCGTTGTTGTAACCATCGCAATTATCATCATCATCAGCTCATCAAAAATTATTGTTCACTACTTCACTAGCTGTCCCACTTGGGACAAGTTGAACCACCTCCCCGCCTCTATTTCTTTTCATCCACTCCCTCTCAGAAGATCTTAAACAGCAGGCCACCATGAGTGGCAAAGAAGGGAGCAAACACAAGTGATTCAACTGCCATTAGCTTGATAAGAATGTTGAGTGACGGGCCTGATGTGTCCTTAAGAGGGTCACCGATCGTGTCACCAATCACAGCTGCCTTGTGTGGATCTGACCCCTTGGGGCCAAGGGTCCTAGCGTGTTCTGAGGCACCGGCCTGCAGTAAAATTTACAAAGTGCATAACGTTACTTAGCAACATTCACCTGATAACGTGTTTACAAAAACCAACTCAACACATTATTCTAGATTATTACCTCAATATACTTCTTGGCATTGTCCCATGCACCACCAGTGTTGGATGCAGATATTGCTATCTGTAAACCACAATTAATAACAGGAAAACCTTCAGAAACAACTCTGGTTACAATTAATCAGTTATTCATGAAATGTTTCAGAAAGTTATTGGTTGACAGTTTTTTGAACTTGCTTTTTTGGATTTTGTTTTTGAATGCAAACTCGTTATGGGGAAAGCAGTAAAAATATGTTCTCTCATTTTTGGTATAACAAATGAATGTGTCATGAAAATGAAGAGCATTTGCATCTTCAACAACTATCTCTAAAAAGAATTTCGCAAAACTAATTCAAAGCGAGTAGAGATGTACTCCAGCTACAAGTCATTTTGAAATTTCCAATGTAGTTTTCAACATTACCTGGACGCCAGAAACAAGGGAGCCAGCAAGAATGCCAGATAGCGTCTCAACACCAAAGAAGGTTCCAACAATGAGGGGTGTAAGCATGACAAGGGCGCCAGGTGGAATCATCTCCTTGATTGAAGCATCAGTGGAGATCTTGACACAGGTGGCATAATCGGGCTTGGCAGTGCCCTCCATGAGACCAGGAATAGTATTAAACTGTCTTCGAACTTCCTCCACCATCTTTAATGCTGCACTTCCCACACTCTTCATTGTCATGGCAGAGAACCAATAAGGAAGCATAGCACCAACAATCAAACCAATGAACACCTTCGGTGAGAGAACATCAACGGTTGAAATTCCTGCACGGCTAACAAATGCACCGAAGAGTGCCAATGACACCAATGCGGCAGATCCAATAGCAAATCCCTGGAAACAATAACTCATAAACAGAAATAGGCAAAAAACATAGGACAATAAAGAGGAAACAAATGCTAGATTAAGCTAAACAATAAAACTAAAACTTTAGTATCGCATGAAATGTCAGGCTTAGGTCATTGTAAATTGTAATCAGTTGAATATTCACTAGCTAAGACCATCATAGCAGCTTAAAGCTGAGTTGTTTATAAAAGTGGCATGACTGACATAATTATTGACTCAAGGCTCCCATCATTTTGGGAAACATAAAAAAAGGTCAACCCAGAAAATTCAAAAGCCTAACTCGTAAAAGGTATTACATCTAGGCACTGCCCAGTACTATAATCACATGCATGACCTTTATGGTTATAGCCAAAAAAAACATCTTAGTACCTTTCCAATGGCAGCAGTGGTGTTTCCGGCAGCATCAAGGGCATCAGTTCTCTCACGGATTCGGTGGCTCATACCAGCCATCTCGGCAATCCCTCCAGCATTGTCACTGATGGGCCCATAAGCATCAATGGCCAACCCAGTAGCAATGGTGCTTAGCATGCCAAGGGCAGCCATTGCAATACCATACATAGCAGCAAAGCTAAAACTAACAAAAATGCTGACTGCAATGGCGAAAATTGGGATGATGACAGATTTGTATCCCAAGGCCAGGCCAAAGATAACGTTAGTGGCAGCTCCTGTCCGGCATGAATCAGCAACATCTTGCACAGGACTACATTATATAAAAGCAAAAGATGCATGAGAAATGATGCATAAAAAGAGTAGATGTGAGTTAATTTGCAATGTGAGATACCTGTATGCATTGCTGGTGTAATACTCTGTCACAAACCCAATAATAAGTCCAGCCCAAAGCCCAACACCAACACACAAGAATAGTTGCCTGCAGGCGAAAATCAAACGCTTTTGAGACAAATTATATTACCTCAAGATATACGAAAAACAAGCAAATAGAAGTTGATCAACTACTTCTCCCAGGCTAAACAACTTTGATTTTACAAAATCTTTTTGCTAACATCTCATATACTCAATGTGCCATAGAACGAATCTAAACTTGTGTGTGTGACGTGAAATTGGAACTTGGACATTCATTCAGGAGAAACAACTAGTGATGAGGGTATGTGAAACTCCCATATTCATGGAGTGCTTTCACCTTATAAACACAAGATTCATTTAAACATTAAAGAAGACTATTAAGAAATATGGAACTTTAAGTTTCTTGTGTCCTTGAACAGGAAAACAAGATAATCCGAGGCTTAGATATGGTTAGATATAAACCGGCCACAGAGTCCAAGTACGATAGGACTCACTTGGCACATTGTCAAATAACCTTTTTAAGTATCAACATTACATCCACTTTTATGAAATTATCTGGAAACAAAGGACGCTAAGACATAGGGGAAGATAAAGGCAAAGCTTACCAGTTCTTCACAACTTTCTGGGAACCAAAATTGTAAATTGTGAAGGATGATGGAAGCGCAATCCAAGAGACTACTGCAATTGCAGCGGTCATTAAAACAGTGGAGATAATAAGCTGCTTTTTCAATGCTGGTTCAATCTCCTTGACAGCCTTGATTTCGAAGAAATCAGTTGCAAAGAGGGTGGTGATCAAACAAACAATGATGCCCACAGAACTAATTAGCAAGGGATAACACATTGCCGTGAACTCGTGGTTGATTCCAAAGGAGGAGATAGAGGCCACAACAAGCGCAGCACAAGATGATTCGGCGTATGAACCAAATAGATCAGACCCCATGCCAGCAATATCTCCCACGTTATCACCAACATTGTCCGCAATTACCTGCAATAATAAAGACACCTGAATTTAACAAGTCCAAATTAACGTGTACATTTTTTAATTCAAAAGTGAAAGAGGCTCACAGCTGGGTTCCTTGGATCATCTTCTGGAATGTTTCTTTCCACCTTCCCAACAAGATCAGCACCGACATCAGCAGCCTTAGTGTAGATACCTCCACCAACTCTCCCAAAGAGAGCCATGGAGGACCCACCCAGTCCATAACCAGTAATTGCCTCAAAAAGACCTTCCCAGTCATCACCATAATATAGCTTGAAGAGATTGATGACAATATACAGGACCAAGAGGCCATTAGCAGCAAGAAGAAAACCCATAACTGCACCAGATCTAAATGCAGTGATAAAAGCTTTTCCAACACCTTTTCTTGCTTCTAAGGTTGTCCTCGCATTTGCATAGGTTGCAATTTTCATGCCAAGGAAACCAGACACGACAGAGGTGACAGCACCGAGTACGAAGGAGATGGTGCTGAATATGGCAGTGGCAAGTGCTGGCTTGCACATCTTATGCTGATTATAGGTGCAGGGTTGGCTTTCTGTGCTAAAGCTCTCAACAGAGCCCAAGAAAAGGAAAATCAAAATTGCAAAAGCAACCATGAAAACGCCCACATACTGATACTCGGTAAACAGAAAAGATGTTGCACCTGTTACATTCAGATGTAATTAATTTACAATCCCACATGATACCATATAGAGATTCAGAAAAGCACCATAGAGATTCAGAAAAGCACCAGGCTAAAAGTAACAGTCCTGTAGTGGCACAAAGATAAAATTAACTTAACCACAGAGATCAATACTTAACATGACATGGAACAGGATAACATTGATATCAGGCAAAAACCAAAGGGTAGAGCTTGAACCAGAAGAGAAGCATAGGAAGGGAACAGGAAAACAAAAGGTATAGTAATAAAACAAGACATGATGAAAACATAATACAAACTTTATCATTCTGAATGCTAAGTTTGGCATTGTTTTCCATGTTTCAGAACCAAAATGAGAAGTTCGAAATAACTAGGTCCTTTTTTCGGCCAGAAACTGGTTTTGGTATGGGAAAAATATCTTTCTGGTGTTTCCTGAAAGTGAGTTGCTTTCATAATAACTACAACGAAATCAGATTTCGCAATCAATTCACCAAGCAAATTACAAAAACCGAAAATGTAAAAAGATACCAACCACGAAGGACCAAGTCTTGCAAGGACCTGAAATATATTGGCCATTTTGACAGTCTGCAAAAAAAGGTGTAAAAGATATCCTTCCAAAAAGTGAAATTCTAGGTTCCTAATAACTGCCTATTGCATGTCAAGATTACCTGGTAACAAAATGGTGGAGTTTAGCCATGGACTATGGTGTCATTCTCCATTGCAAAGACCATAATGCATAAGAAGTTGTCAATTAGCGCCTCTAAAGGTAGTGGGAATGGTGGTAGGAGATGAGTTTGGCAATGAAATAGCTGTAGCTAGTGGAAGTGGATGTTTGGTGGGCATTGAATGGATTCTAACAGTTACAGTTAGAATCCCTTCACTCCATAATTTTAGTTCTTTACGAAAAAGTCACATCATTTTCGGACAAAAAAATTAAAGCATTTCTGTGACAATTTTCTGATTTTCACCCCAATTTAAATAACTAATTGAGATCTTCAAAATCGGTGCGAAAAAGTTGAGAGAAATTATGCACAAAAGTATGTTATCTCTTATCAACAAATGACGTGACTTTTCATTCTACGAGGTTAACTTCCATT